GTTAGTAGTTGGTATACGGGTGAGTGCATCGACCAGTCTCGTAAACAAGGAAACGCCGACAGTGACTCACGTTGAAGCAAAGAATCATCCGAAAGAAGAGTTGAATTATTCATTACCTGTGACTAGTGCTGGCATCGGTATGTTGCACGCCGTTTGGTTCTCACGGAAGAAGATAGAAAGCGCTTTAATTCTTTCACGCACTTTTGGAAGCTCATGTTCACCTTTGAGACGAGAAGGGGTACTATGTATTTATGGCAACGAACGGCACCAGTCGTATGTCGAGACGAGTGCGTAGCGTATCCTGCGAAGGCTACGGAGAATGCTGACCCCTTGAAAAGCTAAAGTTTTCCGTCAACTCATGATTTTCCCCGCTTTGAATGGGAGGCGAGTGCGCGTTTCATTCAGAGCGGAGACATGTGGTTTAGTGTGTAAGGAGTCTTGACCGCCTCCATCGTCAAGTACTGGCCTTTGGTCAAGGAGAAAAGAGAGCAAAAGTACCTTTTTTAGCGATAATGCCCACCTGATTTCCTCAGGGTCACAGACAGGGAACAGTTGAAGACGGCTACCTGCCGTTATCGACAGATTCAGAATGTCAGTCGATTGAGCGAAAGAGTAGGGGTGCAGGATTTCCCGCGCGTTTTGTTTTTGGCGCGGGATGCGGTGGCAGCGTCTGTGGGGAAAGTTGATCTATGACCAACCGGTCGGTGGAGCACTCACCTAGTGCGACACGAATTGAAGAAGAAGAAGGATTAGGATGACTACGGTCACATGAACGGCTCCGCAAATTGGACTTACCGCATACTGACAGCACCGAGGTGAAGGGCAGTCGTGGGAGAGGTGCAGTCTGTCTCCACTATTAAAGCAAGTTGAAGTGGCTGCATCTGATTAGATGGAGGTTCGAATTGAATGGGGTGAGTTATGGTGCTGAAAGATAGAGGTTATTGATAGTCAGTCCTTCTAGGTTCTCGTCGAGCTGGTACTACAGCCTTCACTGCAATTCCAGTCTAGATGAACGAATTATACGATAGCCATCGCCTCGGTCAAGAGTTGCTCTTATCACCTAGGCCTTCGACTTTTCAAACGAAGCTGAATTATCTATATTGACGTAATACTGAATATCAGATCAGAGTCGTGCGACAAATCATCCCAGTAGCGGCTTATTCTGAATGGCTGGGTCCTGAAACGGCTAGCAAAAGTAGGAGACGTCTGCCTATTGCTGACTGAAGAGAGGTACTGTCAAGTTACACACCGATGTTGCGCACTCTCGAATGACTTCCTGGTGAACACACCGCGTGTCACCTCTTGGTTACGCCCTAGCACTAATCACTGGAACGACATCACGATCCATAGTTGCGACTTCAAAGTTGCGGTCGACCTGTCGACCTGTCACTCGGGTCTGACACTGTTGTCCGCGTTCTGCTCGACACCGCTCTTACGAGTGAGCAGTCTCCAGTGGCACCACATGGGGAACGGACTCACCATCGCGGACTTCATGCTAGCATACTCTGTCCTGCGTTAGCTCGGATGTACCAATCGCTTCGACCACCTCTCCGAAACCCCTAGGACCGGAAGCCCTCCAGTTCACCGACAACAGGGACTTAGGACTTTGCGCGGGATTCGGTTTTTTTGGACCATATGTCAATACTCCATGGGCCGGAACGAGAGTTTTATACTCAGGCAACCAAGCAACGGGTCCTTAGAGGCAAAATCAATCGTTTTTTTTTGCTTTTCTTTCTGCAGGCTCAAATATACATTCGTAAAAAACTTAACCAACAGCTAGCTAAGCTGCTATACTTCAGTAACTCACCGGTGGAACATAATGGCTGCGAAAACAAGTCCAAAACATATCTCCAACGTCCCTCAACAACTTCTCCTTACAACAGCGGCCTCAGCGACTGATACTTACTCGTATGCTGCACTCTTTATTAATTACGTCACAACTTCAATTGCGAAACTTCACAATGCGGGACGAGCCCCGAAATAAAATTTTGCCGGAACAAACCATGATCTCGGGACAAAATACATTTTCAGATGCGATAATGGTCAAGGGTCATGCACACAAAGAGAAAAAACGAACGATAACGCATCCGATAAAAGGATTCGTCGACTATCTATGAAGCTATGGTTACTAGACAATCGCTCGAGAAGGCAGTTCTTTCTGCTTGAAAAAACTTAACTGTGACCGTCGCTACAGCCGTGCTTCCGTATTATCCGGTGAACGGTCGCGGAGCAAGGGTTGCACAAAAATCATCATGCCTACGATATCTCCTCAAGCGACTCAGGTCATCTGAGCTTTACCCAGATCTGAGGCGCTTGTCGGAAAGCTAAAGTCGTGGTCAGTTCAAGAGGGAAACCTTGAGATTGTTTTCTAAAGAAGTGTATTCGTTGAAAATATGTTTCGAATGAGAGCGGGGAACATCATCACAACTTGGCAGCTCGGTTTGTCATAATTGAAGAAGGCGAACACTATTATTTTGGTGATGTCTTTATGTTTGTGAAGAAAATAAGACAAGGGTTAGAAACGTTTGATCCTTCGTTCGTCGGCTCACTTGTCGGATACTTCACGCAAGCTATGTTCCTATGATAACGTTGAAAACGTAATTAAACACTGTATAAAATCATCGTCGAAATATTTATGAAACAAAGAACAAGAACATGAAGTATGTATAAATACTATATTCATATGTGGCGGGGAACAAGAAAAAGATAGAAATCTGCTAGAGGAATTCACATCAGGACGGTCCGATTCTCGAAATTTCTACCATCATGGGCTTTCTCTAGGAACACAACAGGTGCAGTCAACCAACGTATAAACACAGAACAGTAGCATCCACCGATCACGCAG